TTAAATATAACAAAGTAAGAAAATCAGATTGTAAAAAAACAGAAAAAAAGACAAGGTAAGCTGAGGATATAATAAAGACAAGGGAAGCTGAGGATATAAAAAAGACAAGGGAAGCTGAGGATATAAAAAAGACAAGGGAAGCTGAGTATATAAAAAAGGAAAAATATGAGATAGCAAAAGGAAAAATATTAAGGCAAACTGTAAAAAGTATGAAAGGAAAAAATATAAAAATTAAGAGGAACCAATTGAAGAACAAAAAAATAAGAAGAGATTAGAAAATAAGGCTTTATGGAAATTAGAATTATAAGAATTCCTGGAAAAATAAAAGAAATTATAAAATCGATTTCAAAAGAAAATTAAATAAATAATTACATCTCTAATCATATCCCTTTCTGGGCCCCGGTTCTCTCTGGTTAAACGGAACATTTAAAAAAATGATAGTCATTGCACGGAAATCCCTGGAATGGTTTTAAGATTTTTAACGCAGGAAAAATCCTGATTCGACCGCTTAGCAGGGGGGATTGTTTTGTTGTAAGATTTTTTCATAGATTATTAGAAACCGAATAATTTAAAAATTCAAAATTTATTAAAATTTTTAAAGAAATTATATAAACTGGAGAAATATTTTAAGCAGGATATATTTTGTGATGAATATCTAAAAGTTACGAAAGCAAAGTGGTTGAGTAACGATTGTCTTACATCAAGGTTCGGAAGTCAGCTTGAGTGTACACTCTTCGGAAATTTTGCGCGCATTTTCATTTCTGTTTGGAGTCGGATGCAGTGTGCATTGTGTCTTGTCCTTCCATGTGTCTGAAGAACAATGGTCAACATTAATAAGATGCCGGAAACACATGCACTGACACAAAAACACTCCCAAATACACGGTTTCCCCCTTGGGATAAAAGATGGAATAAGCCTAGACAAAAAACTAATGGAATTGAGTTTTTGCAAACTCAAATTTTCTAATCCTTACATCTTGGCAACCTAATGGTGGAAACCGTTGATATTTCAAACTTAGGTCATTTGATCTAGCAGAATTCATAGTTTGAAATATCTAACGTCTACGAAATTGGATTGCAAAGATATAGGTATTTGAAAATCAGAGTTTGTGACAAAGACTCAATTCCTTTAAATCATTTTGATTAACACCCTGGAAAAATTCATAAATTGTCCCTGCCTATCTGTCCTTTAAGCATCTAAATCGGCGTGAGTGGTTCCCCTTTTATATACTTTATATTGCTGAAAGTACGTTTATGTGACCTAGCTCTGTGTCCCTGTCTTTTGTGAAAACTATTTCTACTTCCTCATATCTTGTCCAGGGGTTGTACAGGGTGTCATACAAAATATACCACAGCCTTTTAATTCTTATTTAATGCATAACAAAAGTTAAACTAAATGTCATCTGAGTTTTAAAATTTCTGTTTTTCATTATTTACTTTGCACTTTTTTCAGACACTCAATCACATGGGATATTACTGAGATGCATATATTGGGTTACAGATTGCAAGGAGAAATAAAGGTTAAAGGGTTAAACTGAACCCCCTTTTGCCAGATTTTAAGTTGAGATCAGACTGGCTTTACAGGGTGTGCCGCTAAACATTACAATTCGGGGATAGATTAAAGATCGTCTTCGATCTTTGACAGCTATCAAATTATAAAGATAAAAAGGTTGCTGATACACTACACGGATGGAAACATTTAAATCTTGCAACTTTTTTTAGACACATTTGTTTCAGTGGCCCCCGCGCGGTTGTCCTCTTTTGTTAGAACTCAATTAGAAAGAACCTGATTATTTTAAGAATGAATGAATGCAAATTGGGTTTGATTATCTTTCAATTATCTGTCCTTGACTTATCAATATTCTAACCGAGCTTGCTTAGTTTTACTTAATCAATATATTATTTATACATTTTTGTTCAAGAAAATTTACTTTTTGACACGGGGGTTCTTCGTTTATACATTTCGTAAATACCAAATATTTTTAGCTCTCTGAATTCCTACTTTCTAACTGTATCTTCGAATCAAAATATATAAAAAGCGGACATCCAAATCATAACGAATGTGATAATATAATTACAAATTAAAGAGATTATTTAGAACTTTAATTGGAGTTGAAGGCATCTATTTTTAAACAAAAGATATAATTGTGATGTTTATAAGGTATCATTCATAGATATTTTAACCTTCTTCTTCATATTTAAAGGGGAAGTAAACCCTAAAACGATTTGTCTCAAATTTTGATTTGGGAATTCGGTAGAACCGCAGGAATGATCTTAGCCTGGTTTAGTTTGATAAGTTTAGTTTTCAAGCAAAGCTGGGTTCCCAAGCAAGAATTATATACACTAGCTTGAGAACCCAGCGTTGCTTGGAAACAAAACTTTCATCCCTCTCTACTTAGAACTGTTAAAACAAGCCATGAACATTACAGTTCTTTTAACAAGTTCCCTGGTCAAATCTATCAGGAGTTTCCTAAGCTATGATCGGACATACAAATAGACAGACAAACAGACAAACAGAAATTTGTACTTATATAAACCTATTAGGAATGTTACCTTAATAAAGTTGAAGAGTAGGGATCTGATGGAGGTTGCAGTACGCTTCAATAGGATGAGGTAGGATGGTAATTAAGAGTATTAATACTGATCAGTCTCAGGGTAAAGAGTCCTGGAGTAGATTGGAGAAGAGTGAGATACCAGTCCTGGCTGGTTCGGATTAAGTTCTAGTTCTAGTCTTTTTCCAGGTTTAGGATAGGATAGAATTTTATTCCTTTTCCATGTCTTGTCCAAGATCAGGTTCGGAGAGATTTCTATTTCTTTTCCGGATGGAGTTCTAGTCCTTTTTCGGGTTCAGGTTCGGTTAGAGTTCTAGTCCTTTTCTCGGTTTAGGTTCGGATCTGATACTTATCCTTGTTCAACTTCGGGTTAAGATAAGAATTTTCTGGCTTCACTCTACTCCAGGGTCCAGGAAGGACTGTGAGGAAACCAACACAAAAGATGGATTTAAAGATATGACCAGGGTCGTATTTATTCTTGACAGGGGTTGCACAGGATTGCAACTCAAAAATTTCCATCTTAAGGACAAGGGGGGGGGGTGGCATGAAAATGCACATGTCATCGTTTCAGCTTAAGTACAATCATTTTGCACAAGGTAATCTACTGTATAGGTCTTAGATGTAGTTTACTTGTATTATTAAAGTTCCAGTTCAACAAATAGACAAATTTCAGACTTGTATTCAAAAACTTTAATATAGAAAAAAGAGTACCAGCAGAAAAGAGGTAAACGAAAAACTAAGTTTGAAATGAAGAAAATTGATTTAAACTAAATTCATAACCGTTGTAAAATTTGTTTTTGGCAAACTGATTGAAATATTATCATTTCAAACCTTTTTTTCCAGATTTTTTCTTTGATATACTCCAATCCGATTTCCACTGTTCCTTGATATACTCCAATCCCAGTTCTACTGTTCCTTGATATACTCCAATCCCAGTTCCACCGTTTCTTCATATATTCCAATCCCTGTTCACTGTCCTTTGATATACTCCAATCCCAGTTCCACCATTTCTTGACATATTCCAATCTCAGTTCCACTGTTCCTTGATATACTCTAATCCCAGTTCCACCATTTCTTGATATATTCCAATCCCAGTTCCACTGTCCTTTGATATACTCCAATCCCAGTTCCACCATTTCTTCATATATTCCAATCCCAGTTCCACTGTTCCTTGATATATTCCAATCCCAGTTCCACTGTTCCTTGATATACTCCAATCCCAGTTCCACCATTTCTTGACATATTCCAATCTCAGTTCCACCGTCCCCCTTGATATACTCCAACCCTAGTTCCACTGTTTCTTGGTGTATTCCAATCCCAGTTCCACTGTCCTTTGATATACTCCAATCCCAGTTCCACCATTTCTTGAAATATTTCAATCTCAGTTCCACTGTTCCTTGATATACTCCAATCCCAGTTCCACCATTTCTTGATATATTCCAATCCCAGTTCCACTGTCCTTTGATATACTCCAATCCCAGTTCCACCATTTCTTGACATATTCCAATCTCAGTTCCAATGTCCCCATTGATATACTCCAACCCCAGTTCCACTGTTTCTTGGTGTATTCCAATCCCAGTTCCACTATTCCTTGATATATTCCAATTCCAGTTCCATCTTTTCCTTAATATACTCCAATCCCAGTTCCACCGTTCCTTGATGCATTCCAATCCCTGTTCCATGATATCTCTACTTAAATCCCAGTTAGTCCTTGGTAAACTACAATACTAGTTCTATTGTTCCAAGTTCCCCCGTTCCATGATTTGCTTAAACCCAAGTTCCTTAATATATTCCAATCCCAGTTCTACCGTTTCTTCATATCTCAGTTCCACTGTTCCTTGATGTATTCCAATCCCAGTTCCACTATTCCTTGATATATTACAATCCCAGTTCCATCTGTTCCTTGTTATACTCCAATCCCAGTTCCACTGTTCTTTGATGTGTTCCACTCCCTGTTTCATGATATAATCTATACTCTAATCCCAGTTAGTCTTTGGTAAACTACAATACCAGTTCTATTGTTCCGAGTTTCCCCGTTCCGTGATATGCTTCAACCCAAGTTCCAGAGTTCTATGATATACTCTACTAGGTTCCTAGGCCCATGTCTAGGTTCCTAGGCCCAGGTCTTGGTTCCTAGGCCCAGGTCTAGGTTCCTCGGCCCAGGTCTAGTTTCCTAGGCCCAGGTCTTGGTTCTTAGACCCAGGTCTAGGTTCTTAGACCCAGGTCTAGGTTCCTAGGCCCAGGTCTAGATTCCTAGGCCCAGGTCTAGGTTCCTAGGCCCAGGTTATTTTATCCTTCTTTGTTGTAGTTTCTCGGCCCTTGGGTAATTTAGCGTGTAATGAGCACCATGCGGTCAATGGTTATACAAAGGATAAAATGCAGAAATAAAATTTAATTCAAACTAATTTTCTTCACAAATACCTGACTGAATGATAAACATTCTTGTTATTTATATTATTCTACTTGGACTTTTCTTTATCCTTGTACTTGGACTTCTCTTTATGCTTGTACTTGGACTTCTTTTTATCCTTGTACTTGGACTTTTCTTTATCCTTGTAATTGGACTTTTCTTTATCCTTGTACTTGGACTTCTCTTTATTCTTGTACTTGGACTTCTCTTTATTCTTGTACTTGGACTTCTCTTTATCCTTGTACTTGGACTTCTCTTAACCTTGTATTTGGACTTTTCTTTATCCTTGTACTTGGACTTCTCTTTATCCTTGTATTTGGACTTCTCTTTATCCTTGTACTTTGACTTCACTTTATCCTTGTACTTGAACTTCTCTTTATCCATGAAATTGGACTTTTCTTTATCCTTGTACTTTGACTTCTCTTTATCCTTGTACTTGGTTTTCTCTTTATTCTTGTACTTGGACTTCTCTTTATCCTTGTACTTGGACTTCTCTTTATCCTTGTATTTGGACTTTTCTTTATCCTTGTACTTTGACTTCTCTTTATCCTTGTACTTTGACTTCTCTTTATCCTTGTACTTGGACTTCTCATTATCCTTGCACTTTGACTTCTCATTATCCTTGTACTTTGACTTCTCTTTATCCTTGTACTTTGACTTCTCTTTATCCTTGTTTTTGGATTCACTTTATCCTTGTACTTTGACTTCTCGTTATCCTTGTACTTGGACTTCACTTTATCCTTGTACTTTGACTTCTCGTTATCCTTGTACTTGGACTTCACTTTTTCCTTGTACTTTGACTTCTTTTTATCCTTGTACTTGGACTTCTCTTTATCCATGTAATTGGACTTCTCTTTAATTCTTGTATTTGGACTTCTCTTTATCCATGTAATTGGACTTTTCTTTATCCATGTAATTGGAATTCTCTTTATTCTTGTATTTGGACTTCTCTTTATCCTTGTACTTGGACTTCTCTTTATCCTTGTACTTTTTCTTATACTTTTATCCCATTACTTACCCTGTAATACTTTTATCTCATTACTTACCCTGTATTCTTATATTTTTATCCCATTACTTACCCTGTATTCTTTTACTTTTATCCCATTACTTACCCTGTATTCTTATACTTTTATCCCATTACTTACCCTGTATTCTTATACTTTTATCCCATAACTTACCCTGTATTCTTATACTTTTATCCCATTAATTACCCTTATTCTTATACTTTTATCCCATTACTTACCCTGTATTCTTATACTTTTATCCCATAACTTACCCTGTATTCTTATACTTTTATCCCATTAATTACCCTGTATTCTTATACTTTTATCCCATTACTTACCCTGTATTATTCTTATACTTTTATCCCATTACTTACCCTGTATTATTCTTATGCTTTTATCCCATTACTTACCCTGTATTCTTATACTTTTATCCCATTACTTAACCTGTATTCTTATACTTTTATTTCATTACTTACCCTGTATTCTTATACTTTTATCCCATTACTTACCCTGTATTCCTATACTTTTATCCCATAACTTACCCTGTATTCTTATACTTTTATCTTCCCAATTAAATAGCATCCAACATACTATTACAGTTTTCGCCATCACTACATGCTAGAGAAACATGGTTGTAGAAAGGATACTATGGTTTGACATGAAATACTACCGGTTGGAGTTATCTTCAATTCTAATCTCAGATTTTAGTTTAAAGCCGGTATACACGTGTAAACCAACCCTCGCATAGTAACAAGTATTCAGATATATAGGCCGGGATAGATTATGAACAGTAAATCAGAAATAAAAAGAAAATATATTTTGTAAAAAAATAAAAATTTTAAAAATGCTAGATCAACATTTTTAAAGGCGTTCTCCAACTTGATATTCTGTAATTTCCAGCATGAGAACTTTTTTAAAAGAAAATACTAAAAGTAATAGAATTTAATGATTTTTTAAAAAAGGATTTCTAAACTGTATTTTATAAGGCTTGTGGTTGCCCCTAGCCCCGGCCTGTCCCCGAGTGCCCATTTTATCAGACATTTTGGAGACCTGATCCTTATCTGAGATGAATACTCCTGACCACGCCGGGAAACTGGAATAAATGGACCAAGACCGCGAAGGTTTAAAAAAGTCCTGAGATTTCTAGATTTATTGCTGGCCGCCTGGGGATGAATGTAATTTCAAGTTACTCGCTTCGCTCGATTTACAATGGAACCCTTTTAAAGCTTTGTCTGACAGAGTTTGAATTATTTATCATTTTTAAACTGACTTCCGCATTACAATTACAGAAAGACAATGGAAAAATGAACAGTATCAAATACCTTTCAGGCTCAAAAGCGTCGTTATATTCAGCATAATTGATTAGATAACGGTTGGCAGGGTACCTTTGTAAATCGGGAGTTAAAGGGACCGTATAGACGTAATTTCAAGAGGGACATACCAGGTTCACAACGATTACCTTTAAACTTTCGGCTCAGCGAAAATGAAAATTGATTATTTTATATTGAGATTTCTCTATAAGAGTGAATTGTGGATTTAAGCTTAGAGATAAAGAAGGAAATTGAAACACAGTGTTTGTTGATCAGAAGAAGGTTTCAAGGGTACTGTTGCAAATCGGACATGAAACTCTATGAATGAAGGGTCGCCTGAAATAACGTAAACAGTCCCTTTTAGAATACGCTGCCTTTTATAATATGATTTTGGTTCAAAAGTAAAAAAAAATATTTTTTCTTTTTTCTAGCAGGGTGTAAGATATTCCAGATGTACTATACAAGGCTTTTAGGGCGCTTTGTCCCCATCTTATATTATGAAAATCGAATTTTGTAAGAGGCAAATTTTTGAAATTTGGATCATATACAACCTACCATAGGGTCATGTGAGTTCCTTTACAAAATTTGGGCCCGGTTGGTTCAGCTTTTATGATGTTTATTGGATACAAACAAACAAACAGACACCCAGACAAGCAAAGTATACAAATAGACTACCGATGTTTATAGTTAGAGTAAAACATTCCTAAGACTTTAATGTTGTCTGTAAGGTAGTCAAGTATCCTTCTAAATATTACGAATAAGACTTCCTAAGGTTTCCCCAGGGCAGCGTTGAAATTTATTTGAATTTAAATCTCAGGAATAATGTGGATTATTTTAAAACTTCTTGGTTCTGTAGGGAGTCCATAAAAAAATGATCAGAATATAAATATTGTTTGATTTGTTACTAGGATTGTATAATTTTGTTGTAAGACGCTTGGATGGTTTTGTTGTTAGACAGTTGGATGGTTTGGTTTACGGGATGGTTGAATTTTAGACAAATAGATGACCTGGTTAGCAATGCGTCTGGATGGTTGCTAGACGGTTGGATGGTTGGATGCTAGCTTGTTTGATGACTTAGTAAAGAAAAGGTTGGTTGGTGTGGTTGCCAGACGGTTGAATGTGTAAGTTGCAAAAGGTTGGATGGTTTGATTAAAAATAAATAGTTTGCAATGAAATTATATGGTTTGTTGCTAGACTGTTAGATGGTTGGTTGCCAGAATGTTGGATGGCTGGTTGTCAGACTGTTGGATGGTTGGATGGTTTGTTGATTTGATGTTGGATGGTTGGATAGTTGGATGGTAGATTGGATGGTTTGTTGATTGGATGATTGGATGGTTGGATGGTTTGTTGATTGGATGGTTGGATAGTTGGATGGTTTGTTGATTGGATGGTTGGATGGTTTGTTGATTGGATGGTTGGATGGTTGAACAAGTTGAAAGTTAGTCCCTGATGGGAGTTCCATCAACAAATTATTGAGTTGGGTCGAGTATAGAATACAGGATACAGGATTCAGGATATAGAATACAGGATACAAATTAAAGGATACAGGATACAAGGAGCAGGACACATAATATACTATGTAATTAATTAATACTAAAAGAAAACGGACCATGAATACTAAATATTGGAAACTAAATGATAGATAAACAATAAAGGATGCTTAAAAATGGATACTAAATAATAGGTTCTAAATGACTGGACTAAAATGACTATTTGAATTAAATTGAAAAATGGCAAAAAGAGTGAATCTAATCAAAATGTTTCTGAGATGACTTGCAAGCAAATTAACAAGAAATCTTTTGCAATAGAATCCATTTAAATAAAGTGTTGTGGTCTGACATCATCAATTTTTCTTCTAAAAACTGAATTTTTTAAAAACGTTTGTTTTTCAATATCTTTTGCAGATTATAATAAAATGTCTTAGGTTTGATTTGATATGTGAAATAAAATGTGATTTATATAAAGCATTTTTTATAAAATGAGAAGAAAATATTAAATCCCTTAATCCCTGATGTTTGACAGCTAGGCCTGGTTCTCAAGTCCTCTTTAATTTGCAATTTGCAAACATGATTTGCGAGAATAAACATCAGGATTTCCCAATCTAATTCTTGATGTTGTCATGCTTTTTTATCACCCTGTCGTCCTCTCTCAACACCCTGCAGGCCTCCCAAACACCCTGCCGTCCTCTCTCAGCACCCTTTAGGACCCCCACCCCCTACCGACACCTCCAGTCCTCTCTCAGCACCCTGCAGGGCCACCCCCTACTTCCAAAACCCTGCAGTCCTCTCTCAGCATCCTGCAGGGCCACCCCCCACTTCCAAAACCCTGCAGGCCCCATCCAACACCATGCAGTCCCCTTCTGACACCATTCAGTCTTCTTCCAACACCCTACAATTAACCTGGACATTTTAAATAGCCATGGTCGCATTCAAACCATTTATTAGCACTAGGATTTTGGGCACTTCACGCACATCTTCTATTTCAACTCTGAACAAAACAAAAAAAAATCAAGGCTTTTATAAAATTTTTTTTGTGGATTTTCAAATATAATGAAAATCGAATTTTGTCCTAGGCAAAATTTTGAAATTTTGATCATTTATAAACCTTCCCTGGGTCATGTGAGGCCAGATCGCTACTGTTGTTTTGACGTTTATTGGACACAAACAGACAGACGAATAGACAGACAAGCATATATAGAAGCAATGATGATGTTTATATTACACAATTTTACACCTTTTTTATGATTTCTCATGACAATTTATTACAAATTCAAGTAATATAATTCCAGAAATCCCTGATCTGTAGAGTCTATAAACTAAATAAGAAACGAAGCTGGATTTAAAATCATTAAAGGGAGTGACCGGCTATGTAAGGTAGTTGAACTGAGTATACAGTGTTGTTGAAAACTTCTTTAGGATTCATTTGAGACATATTTCACTTTTTAAAGATCTGTAAATCCTGAGTTTGAGCGCAAATTCGACGTTCAAAACTCCTGATTTGGGGGGTGGATACGCTTTCAGAATTAGTTTTTTTTAATTATTAAACAACGACAACGAAAAATAAAGTAAAAATTATACAGTAATCTAATTAAATGGCCAGGAACATATTTCACAAAATAAATTTGTCAATAAATCAATGCCAAAATCGATTATTTCGTTTTCATTATTATATTGAATTTCTAATTTTCTTTGAATTTATTCGCAGATTTCTTCAAATTCTTTAAATGTCGTCTTTTCAATAATAGTTATAAAAAATCTGCGAACATCTTTGTGAATAACGAGAAACTAGAATAATGAGATAATAGAAACTAATAATTGAACAAGATTACTTATTTTCGATGATAAGATTAATTTTTATTTTCTCAAAATGTTCCTAAACATGACGTCTGTAGTTTATTGTAGAATATTTTTACATTTTATGTCGTCGTTAATTAATAATTTAAAAAATCTAATTCTGAAAGCGTATCCACCCCCAAATCAGGAGTTTTGAACGTCAAATTTGCGCTCAAACTCTGGATTTACAGAT